TGGTGTTACGTACGTGGTGCTTAGCGGTAACGCCGGCCAGCCGTGACCGCTATCGGCGGTGTTGACAGCCGGTGGGACCGGAATGGGGTGACCGCTGACCGCGTTGAACAGTGACCGCTATATACGCGATTCTTAATGCTTACGTCAATGGGAAAAATTCAAGGGACCGGCAAAAACCGACCGCTATGGCCGGGTGACCGCACTGCCAAGGTGACCGCTATTACAGGTTTGACTGTAATATTATAAGTAGTGACCAGGCTAGAAAGGATTCAAGCTTTGTATTATGATTCCAGAACAATAACTAAGCAATGCAAGCATCATGCAAAATCCTGACAACTTGCATTGTTCTATTAGTAGATGAAAAAGAGCCTACTTACATATGATTTGTTTCTTATTATCAAAAAGTAAACCACATCTGTTGCTCCATGCCTTTAGTTTAGCTGTGCATTCATGTCTTCTGACTTGTGTCCACAGGACAAAGAGAGCAGGCAGTGCTACTTTGGTGCAAGAAACTGTCCCTGCCAAAAGAATGGCTTCCCGCCCCAAACATCATGAGCGCTCCATATACCACCCCCCTGGAGGCAAGTACAGTGAGAGGGTTGGCAGGGCTCCTACTGGGGGGGAGTTCAGTAAGTATGCCAGTCTGCATTCATTACATGTACATGGGTGAATCCAATGGTATTATTTGGTAGTCCTGATACTTTTGCTCACTTCTTTTCCTTCGTGTTTTGAAAAATTGAAAAAAAGGAATACCTACCAAGATGGATGCCGAGACTCTGGCCAAAGACCAAACAGAGTGGAGGAAACTTGCTGCCCAATGTGCTATGCACGGGAGGAACTAAGTCTAAGTCTAAGTAACAAGATTACCTACATGGTACTTGAGCTGGAAGTTTGACTCTTATATGGTACCGTATTCAATAGCAGTACAAGGATACATTTTGGTACAAATGCATATGTGTACTGTACAGTTGTAACAGTCACTGATTCGACTATGATTTGTTGTATTTTGATGTCATTGATTTCATAAGCAATCTAAGGGCACAGAGCTGAATCCTTTTCAATTCAAAATATACCTCCAAATCTTATACCTTTTAAAAACTAATAGCAGGGACAGGGAAATTCCTGTCAAAAACATGTAAATGCAGTATGCATTTTCATTACTATCATTTGTCAGTTGTAGTGATTCAGCATTTATTGCAAATCTTTAAACTACTAACGGAGTACATGTACATGTGCTTCACTAACAGTTGGTTTCTTATTATTTGAATTTGAGTTTTGACACTTGGAGTTTGACTGGAATTGCTGCTGTCACATGATTCAAAATTTCCACCCAGTAAGACAACACCAGTTTGTCATGAAGTGGCCTCTAATTACTGCTCTGTATCCTAATGACCAATTCCATGGTACATTTTATCCTTTTCTTCCAAGGCTGAGCTAAAAATGTCTAAAGCATGTTTTGTACTTTGTTCTCTAGATGCCAACCAGTGGGGCTTTGGACAGAGAAGAGGTGGGTGGAGAGGGCGGGGCCAGGGTCTGGGGAGGGGCCAGTACTGAGAACCATGCTGTAGATACAGGCTACAGTGTACCTGATACAGTAGCAAGGGGGACCAATGTTAGAGTAAGACTGTACGTGTAGATGCAGATGAAACATTATTCTTGGAGCGCGTTTTAGATGTTTTTATCACATGTAGTTCTTCAATTACTTATCATATTCATTTCGGCTCTTTGCCCAAAAACAATTGAGATTTGTGGTGATTTGGTTGTTCACTGTTTAGGAGGAACTCCCCAGTTTATTTGGGTTTCCATCAAGGCTGCACACCTCAAGTCTAGTGACCACCTCTTTCAGGGAATAATTCGGAAACAAAATAGCTGTATATGGGACAGAAGGATATCCCTTTAGCTACAAGATCAGCTGTTTGTTTCTTCAAACTCTCTAATTTTGCTAAAATTTGTAGAAAAAGTATTATTTTCATGTAAAAAATAATGCATGAAATTGGTAATTTCACATATGATGAAACCCATAGAAAAACTTTGACTGGTTTTAGCAGAGACAAACCTTGTGTATACTCAAGTCAGTCGTAAAGGAACTCCTAGACTGTAATGCATGGCAGGAGGTGTTACAAATCTGGTTACACAACGGTACAAGGTCAAGCAGATGCATCACTTTCCATCCAGAGGCACACCCAGCAGTAAGGGTTGAGTCAAAAGTCAATTTTCACCAAAAAAACACCATTTGTGTTACACTTTTCAGTTATGTTAGTATCCTATGTGGCAGTAAATTGCGTGATTTTAAAATTGGCCACTTTAATCCCTTTTCGTACTGCCCACTACCGACATCTCTGGTTGCAGAAGAAATGGGGTGTGCACCCTTTAGAACAGTTTGGGAGATGAACTGAGTCAATAGCAGTTATGATTGTACATGAATTACAAGGACAAGATGTGGAGATGAATATGCAGAAAGAGAAACAAAGGTCCACAGTTCTATATTATCAGTCATCAGGTTGTTTAGTCTTCATCGTATTATTCCTCCTGACCACCTCATGTGTTGTCAAAAGGTGATGATGCACAACTTGATCCATTCTTACCCTGAGCAGTAAAGAGAGACTGTTACATTACATGTATGTAAGTTGTAGTGTTGAGCGACGTACAGTGTGTATGGTCCAGGAGCAGGAATGCCTGAAGTGTAGAATATGATCTAGTAAGTTGTGTGTGACCTAAGTGTGATCAGATGAAGTTTTCTTGTCATTATTAGTAGAGACTTGGTAGTGGATATAGGTGCACAGTGTCTGTCAGGAATAGCAGTACATAAAATGTAGAAAAGTGTCACATTAACATTCTGTAGGCTGGTAGTCTGTTTTTTGTTAAGTGTTGGTCTGTACCAGTAGTTTCTAATTATTCATGTCTTTTCATCACTTCAAGAAATATAATATTATACCCAGTATCATCATGCTTCCAGACTAGTACTGTAATATTACATGTAGATCATCAGGCTGTTTGGAGGATAACATCACTTGGAAGAAATGGACAAATAATAGGATGGTCTCTCACATAACTACATCTGTCCTTCTACAACTCTCACCATTGTAATAATGGCACTCTCTCACCGATCAACAGTTGGCTTCTAGGGTTAGTCAGATGGGATTAGTGTTCATCATCACTCTTTCTCCATTTGCTCAAAATGGAAATGCACCTAGACTTGATAAATAGTACATTTGGATTTTGGTGAGATGTCATCAACACGCTCATTCAAGGAATAATTGGTGCAATGATTTGTCCTTGTAAATGTGTAAGTTTAGAAGCAAAGGTCACAGGAATCTGTCAGTCTTAGGTTTGTTCTAAGTCTGTTTGAAGCTCAACAAGTCACATGCATGCACACAAACACACACACAAACACACACATACATAACACCAGGCTCATAACACACACTGTGACCCCCACACATACCATGACACATAGGCAATGTATGTAACATCATAACACACACATGTAACGTTACATACACTAGTGCATAGATACTCCTGGCCTCACCATGTCAAGACAGAAGGGTCGGAAGCAATCGGTTCAGGCCGCACAAACACACACCAGCCTAAGTTTTTCTGTAGATTGTCCCTCCAATGGCTTCCATGTCGTACATTTTGTTTCAATCCATATGGGTTACATTAATTTTGTACACCATAAGACATCCTGGTAACACTGGTGAAAATTTTGTTTCAATCCATATGAGTTACATTTATTTTGTACACCATAAGAAGACATCCTGGTAACAATGGTGAATAGTGTTTAAAACACCTGGGGCTTGTTAGGTTTGTACAAAATCTTACTCTATGTGGACATGTTACATTGTATCTTCTGAATGTACTGCTGTGACACATATTAGCAATGAAATAAAGTTTCCTTTGTGTGCAAAACTGGATTGTTAAGTCCGTTAACAATTTCCTCAGGTTGGTAAGTGATTGAATTGTAAAGTTCTTTTAGTCACAACCAATTGTTTTACATGAGCCAACATTTTGATGGATTGTAAAGTGCCTGTTACACCAAAACACAACAAATTTGAGGCCAGCAAGAAGTTTACCACATACAGTGCCAGGGTCAGAATATCAAAGGCCCATGTAAGGTAACAAATGCTTTCAATGTTTTAAGACACACACAGTACATACTGTACATGTATAGAGTCTGACTGTCACCTGGACATTTGGTCACATTGGACAAAATGAAAAACTGGGAAACATTACCAGACTTGAAGCTGTCCACATGGGTGCATTACAACCATCCTTTACAGAGACAGGGCGCACCACAAACTTACTGCAGTTTATGGTCCATGCCTCTTAGTAATGTCTTTCTGACTGGAGGACTGTTGTATCGCTGAAAATATGTTTTATTGTTGAAAATGTGTTTTATGATGGTTTCCATACAAGATTTCCTGTTCAACCATATTTCCTGTTCATAATGATTACAACTGTAAGTATATATTAACTTTGTACAAATATAAAACATACTTTTGAGATCAAACAACCTTGATTAGGCCATACCAATTTATGTGGATGACATCAGCGTACGCCTTGATTTTTGCCCAATTTTGGAAAAAAACAAAGGAAATTTTGTTGCCCTCTGACATTGGTCAATATTACTCTCCAAGCAGAGATTTGTGATATTTTTGGCATGTTTTTAGGCTTTTTTTTTCAATGTTTCTTTTTTACACTGGAATTTACCAAATTCAGCAACCAAATTTACCAACATACCAAATATCATCACAATCTATAAAGGCGTTCTGAAGTTACATGTATTCTAACTGCAAATATGCGGAAACAAACCACACACAGACACGCCAAAGACAATACCTTCATTTTTCATGGAGGTAATAATCTGAACTGGAAAGGGCGTACTTGGTAAGCTAAGACGATCCCCAAGTATCATGAAGCACACTAGCACTACACACCTTATTTTTCTACCATATATAACCTACGAAAGTACTGTTTGAGACAAGATCTACAAAAACTGCAACACTAATGCAGAACACAGCCGGGAGGCTGCTGCTGGGAGCCCCGCACAGGACGCCGTGTTGTGCTGGTGGACATCAAATCCATACACAGAGACCAGAAATCCCTGCAGACATACAAGAGCCATAATAACTTTTTGCCAGCTTACATGAGACAAATGTTTACATACTGTAGTGATAGGGCAGTACGAACCACACCGCAAAGCGTTTCTGACCTTTTGTATGTGCCACTTGATGGTTCGTCGGGAAGTATACAGAAGATGATTTCCTACTGGCTCCTTTATTGTACATTCATGCCACGACGGGCTAGGTGCAGGTCAAGACTTAACAGACACATAACAAACGTATGTAGAAAAGTGGAGACAAAAGTAACAGTGCTTGACTTAGACATACATACATATTAGGAACATACAAGTATACTATACAAGGCTAATACAAAGTGTTCTAGTTACTGAGCTAATACAGAGTGGTCAAGGTGTTCAAAGTATGGGAACTTCTCTTTGATATGATTAAAAAGGACAGATCTTTCATCATAAAGTACAGTCTAAAATAAAGCGTTGTTCATCTTCTAATCTATTCATGTTACAGTATTGACGCCCGTTTTTAATTGGGGTATAGCATAATAAAAAAAAAGAGTGAAAACTAGACAAGAGAGACAGGAGGTTTTTTAACTATTTTTTTTTTTTTTAACTTTTCGACGTGACTGAGACATATACAAAGGAAGGGGGATAAAAAAAAGGATGTGCCAAGCTACCCACGACAGGTTACTGTGCTCCCACCAACCCACTCCTGCCAACTTGACACCGTATTGACAATTTATTCTGGAGAGGAATGCAGTTGTGCCTTCCCGTTTCAATGAGTAATTTGTGGCAACTTATTCGGAGTTTAATCCCTGGTCACAACCCGCCGTACGTGCTTTTTGTCCGTACATTTTTTGGGAGGACACGTCTGCTACGTTTTTCTGAAAACGTGCGTTGTACGCTCATAGCCTGTACAGGGCACGCGCGTCGCACGTACGGGTGGTGAATCCGCAGACCGCACGCATGAAAAGTTTTGCGTGCACTTATTAAAGTTCTACGGCGTGTCTGCGTGCTCCCCATTCCGTAGGGCTCCGTTAGCCTCCTGTGCAGGCCCCGCGGCGGTGGGGAAGAGTTTTTAACGCGTTATTTTAATACAGCCGGCCATCCTACATAGCCGACGAGAGGAGGTTGCTTTCCACCAAAGCAACCTTCTCTCGTCGGCTATGTAGGATGGCCGGCTGTATTAAAATAACGCGTTAAAAACTCTTCCCCACAGCCGCGGGGCCTGCACAGGAGGCTAGGACTCCGTATGGAGGTGGTACTCACCACGCACGGATGCCCAACGTTTTCCCACGTTTTTGCATGTAGACAGCACTCAGAAGCACGTACGGCGGGTTGTGACCAAGGCTTTAGCCTACCATGTGTTGTATGTTGTTGACCGATTACTAGTAGTACTCTTCTCCTTACCTCCATGAAATGTGTCATGGAGGTTATATTTTCAGTCGCGTTTATCTGTCCGTCTGTCCGTCTGTTGGTCAACAAGATAACTCAAGAACGCCTGGATGGATTGGTTTCATACTTGGTATGTTGGTAGGGTGTGACGAAAACTAGAAATGATTAGATTTTGGTCCCCCTAGTGGCTTCCCTTGGTACTGCAGCGCAACTTCCGGTTTTGATATCTCGCGATCTGGACATGCTAGGGTCATGAAATTTTGATGGAAGGTAGCTCTCGTGCTTGGGAAGAAGTCATATGAGTTTGGGCCCCCTAGCGGCTTGTTCTGGAACTGCAGGGCACTTTCTGGCGAAATGTTTAAAAGCCAATAAGTCCAGACAGGAACAACATATTTTCATTATTTTTGGTGTGTAGGTAGCTGAGAGAGAGATGTACATAATTAAAGGCAAATTATGCAAATGAGGACTTTATTTGCATAATTAATGAGGAAATTCTATAATTACAGTGTTTTACATTATACTACTTGTATGTAACCTATGGCAGGCGGAACTTCAACAGATACTAATTATGCAAATGATGACCTAATTTGCATAATTAATGCGAAAATTCTATAATTTCGTTATGGTGAATGATGAGAATGTCATACTTGGGACATCTGTAAGTTAATCAAAAGTTAACATACATCACGATGCATATATCATGTTAATGCAGAGGTCATTTGCACAATTAAAGAAGAAATTTACATTTACATATCAAGATCATATTTCATGGAGGTATGAGATCTCGGAATTCTAGTTTATATATACTTTTAAACAAACGGTACGTTCGTAACTTGTTACTAGAAGATGTACCTCTGTTATGGTCATTGTGGATTTCAGTAATAAATGTTTGGGTGTAAATATCTTTCAATCGTTGGCTGATGGAGTTATTTATTGGTGATAGGTTTGTGCTCAGAGATATATCAGGGCGCCATACGTAAGCAAAACCGTATTCCTCCAAAGTTTTATGAATATCGGACACTATATCAATGGGTGAGAACTGCCACGTCAGTTCCAGTTTTAAAAACAGTGCGTGGACTCACTATAGAATAACTATAATTGTTATTATATAATATTAAACTTGGATCTTGATATTGATGCAATAAGATACTAATCGAGATAATGTCCCAACTACTAAGTACCTAATACCAGCCCAGAAGAGAACAAGAAATAGCCACACATTCAAGTACCAGAGTTATCAACCAAGGATTGAGGTGTTCAAGAATTCATTCTTTCCTAGAACTATCGCAGAGTGGAACTCACTGTCACCAAGTACAGTAGGGGCACTGTCAATAGATAGCTTTAAACAATGTCTAGAGCTAGAAGTTCAAGGGTTAGGTGTAACAAGTCGATCGGTGTAATATAGCCAGCTGCCGCCGCGCCGCGTGCCTGCGAAGCTGGTGTGTTACGCCGAAAGGCGGTTATACCGGCTATACAGATACAGATACAGAATGTTTGAATTATGTATATATTTGTATTGTATGTATTTTATATGTATTTATATTGTATTTATATTTGAACCAAAGCATTTGTAAAAGACCCCTGACCCACCTCCCTCTTGAAAAGCGGCTCAGGCCGAAGAGTGTACGTCTTCAACAAAAAAAAAGTTCAAGGTTAAATAAAGGTTGAAAAAACATTTGTACAATGATTGAAAACTTTTATTTTTCAGTGACAATAGATGTTGAAATAGTTGGCAGTTTGGCACCACAATATAGTTATAGGTTTTGTTTTCGCCTGTCTGTGTGTGTGTGTGTGTGTCTGTCTGTCTGTGACAAGGTTTATGGGGTCAAACTTTGAATCTAGGAATCTTTTTTTTCGCCCTATCGCATTAGATTTGGAGTCTACAGCGAATATCACCCGTAAAGTTTTGCTGTGGCCTTACATACAAGATATTGCTCAAGCGCGGTTCTGGATAAAGCACGGTTCTGGATAAAGCACGGTTCTGGGTAAAGCACGGTTCTGGATAAAGCACGGTTCTGGATAAAGCACGGTTCTGGATAAAGCACGGTTCTGGATAAAGCACGGTTCTGGGTAAAGCACGGTTCTGGATAAAGCACGGTTCTGGAATTACAAGGCCAAAGGGCGTCATCTCCAAGCAGATGTAAGCATCCGGCTCAGACACTGGTGTACTGGTGTAGTGCAGTTTTTCTTTCAGGACTTAAACACGCGCAAACAACGTCTTGAAGACACAGGGCCGGGGCGATAACGATTGTACGGGGTATATTGTGCTTGACTGTTGAACAAAGAACTACTACAGTTCAAATGATCTAACGGGGTGTACGGTTACAACGGATATACACAATGGTCTATTACAAGTCTTAGGAGCTCGTCTTAGAGGGGGAAGTTAGAGTTACGGATATGGATACAAGTCTAGTTACAGATGGGGACTATATTATATAATCCG